GTTGGCCATAGAGTCACACTAGAGGACCTAGAGATCCCTAAAGAGAACATTTAAATCAAATTCATGAATAAACAAATCCACAAAAGTCAAGCCCGCAAATGTGGATGGCTGAATGTATTGATTGACTCCAAGTGATGATGCCATGCGCTATACTTTCCTAGAGTTTTAAATACTGATTTCAAAATGGGTTCTGAAACATTATCGTGCCTAAGGTATGTGGATAAAGTCAAAATCCATAAGTCTTCAAATCACCGGGCATCATGTCTGTTAAATGCACTCTGTGGAAAGAATTTTAGCTTCCTCCCTATGGACAGAGCAGTTGGAGTAAGGCCTGCCCTAAGAGGCATTCAGTAATTTGGCATAACCAGGTTAAGTCACATGTTGCTTTCTGAAGGTAAGCACACTGGTGTGGAAGAACCTGGTACAAATGTTTAAAAATTGTAGTTTGCTGACATTATTTGGCCCAAGGCACACAAAAAAGAAAAATCAAATTTAATCTCAAAATGAATACATTCCGTACAATAGACCAGGGGTCCTCAAACTTTTTAAACAGAGGGCCAGGTCTCAGTCCCTCAAACTGTTGGAGGGCTGGATTATAATTTGAAAAAAGAAAAGAATGAATTCCTATGCACATTGCACATATCTTATTTGTAGTGCAAAAAACACTTTAAAACAATACAATAATTAAAATGAAGAACAATTGTAACAAATATAAACTTATTAGTATTTCAATGGGAAGTGTAGCCCTGCTTTAGAGATAGGATTGTTGTTGTTGTTGGGTGCTTTCAAGTTCTTTAAGACTTAGGTTGACCCTGAGCGAAGGCCGGGTAAATGACGTTGGAGGGCCGTATCCAGCCCCTGGGCCTTAGTTTGAGGACCCCTGCAATAGACATTAAACGTTTTTGGTTGAATTTTATCTAGAAGGCATGTTTTTTGAAGACAGTTTTCAGCAAACACTCTGAAAATATGGCATGTGTCCTTATATACAAACACAGTAGACACAGTTTGGAGTCACCACCAATCATCTTGTCTTCCCATGAATCTTCTCATTCCTTTCCACTGAAAATATATTTACTGTGCAAAATTTTGAATCTCTCCTCTTCAAGTAATGTACTCTTCCCTGAACTCTGTTATGGGGAATGGCATGGTCACTGCCTCTTGGAGTGCATTCCTGTTCAGCGAGATGCATCAACGCATCAATTTTATTTGGCTCGTCTAAGAGATACACTAAGTTGCAGACTTAAATATAAATAAATGTGGCCAAAAAAATTCTAATCTTCAATTCACAGAAAAAGTATTATTACATCGACACCTGTACATATAATTGAAGTGCATTTAATGATAATGTAGGGAAAAATGGGCCAGTGTCTGCCTTCCTGCCAATGCTAAAAAGTTGGAGAAGGAACAATGAGGAAAATGGCTAAAAAATGGCGTCAGGCTGTTTGGCAACAGTAAGCTGGAATTTCTAACAGTTAATGAAGTCTGGAAAAAACATAGTTTCATTCCATCTTTCACTTGTCTGGAATTTGTTATGTTTCCATGCAGTGGTTGTTTTAACCTGTCACATGTTACACTAACAGTATGTCAACTAGCAATTTTCCTATGATCATGGACACTCACTCCAGTTATTGTTTGTTTCTTGATCAACACCCGGTATAAGAGCAGTAAAATAATAATATAGCCACAATTGCCATTCACTAACAGTATTCCTACTTTAAAATTTGGACTAGGAGAATCTCATTTTAATATGTTCTTGAAGGGTAACTTCATTCTACCCTAGTTGCTTTCATACTAAATAAATTTAGGCCATGTTAGAAGCTTGAGTTTACAGCGTATGCTCCTTTCTATCAAACGTGGCAAGTTTTTCCCAAAAGAGTTCTTCTGTCCATGCGTCTTTATAGGAAGAGTCTTACTTCTCAGGGTAGTCTGAAGACAATCCTGCAAATGAAATGTCTGCTTGTCTGTCTGTCTTGTATTCCTCCATGTTGCCTGATATTACCAGCCAGTGTACATGAATTCCCAGATAGGGATGTACATTGAGAAAGGTTGGAACTGTCATTCAGAATGTTTGTCTGTGTTATCACATGTAACTATGCTTGTCTAATCCCATCTGTTGTCCTCTCTGTTCCAGACGTACAATGTGATCTAGAAACTCAGCACTTCACTTAACTTGTATTTTTTGGCTATTGTTGTTCCATAACACTGGCCAACACATATTTTGGCGCCTCAGATGTTAGACCTGTTTCTGAGTATATTTAACCTGCTGATTCAAAAAATTGCACCAGTTTTCCCCTATCAGATACAGAACCATATGCCATTTACCAGTTGCTACCTGTTTGCTGACAGAAATTCACAATTACCACATCTAAGAATCTAGAGCTGATGCCATCTATCCAATGCAATTTTCTGAATCAGTGACCCAAAGTACCCTTGAAACAAGCCTAAAAACCAAAAACCAAAAATATCTTTTGTGGTTTACTATTCCAAATGATGTATATTGCCGGTGTTCATTTTACTGTGATTTTAGCTTGCACATCACTCTCATCTTCATGGTGTCTGCATTTTCTCTTCTCTGTGTTGACAACTTTTAACACTTTTTTGCTTTTATGTTTTCTAAAAGGCACTAAGTGCAAAAGCTGAGAGGTTTATCATGTTACGCAACACTACACCTCTCAACTTAGTGACTGCAACACAAAAAATGTGTGCAAGGTTTGCCATTTTGTGGGAAATCATATAGTTGTTATCAATCATTCTCTCTCCTAAAATATAAAAATATCACAGTTAAAAACTGCTTCTACTTCAAATAGAAGCAATCCTTCCCATAGGTATATTTTCCTTGCTCTGAAGAGCAGGTGTGGGATGTAACTCAAGACTGGCATGACCGTGAAGCAGAACAGTGTAACTCGGGGGATAGACAATTTTTGTCTGTAGGTTTGACCTATCTGCAGTGCCCCCAAGTATCAATTTTATTCAAGAATTGTGAAATTTGAGGTGAGAAAGTGAAGTTTTCAGTGTATTGTCAAAGGCTTTCATGGCCGGAATCGCTGGGTTGTTGTAGGTTTGGCCAAGTTCTAGAAGCATTCTCTCCTGATGTTTCACCTGCATCTGTAGCCAGCATCCTCAGAGGTTATGAGGTTTGTTGGAAACTAGGAAAATTGGGTTTATATATCTGTGGAAGGTCCAGGGTAGGAGAAAGAACTCTTGTCTGTTGGAACTAGGTGTGAATGTTTCAATTGGCCTCCTTGATTAACATTTGATGGCCTGACAGTTTTTAGGTGTGGCTTGTTACTGCCTGGGAAATTCTTTTGTTGAGAGATGATTAGGTGTTCCTGATTGTTTCTTGTCTGGAGTTTCCCTGCAATTGAGTTTTGTTTTTTATTTACCCTTTTTAGTACTGGTAGCAAGATTTTGTTCATTTTCATGGTTTATTCCTTTCTGTAGACATTGTCCACAGGCTTGTAGATTTCAGTGGCTTCTCTGTGTAGCCTGACATGGTGGTTGGAGTGGTCCAGCATTTCTGTGTTCTCAAATAATATTCTGTGTCCAGGTTGGTGCATCAGGTGCTCTGCTATGGCTGACTTCTCTGGTTGAAATAGTCTGTAGTGCCTTTCATGTTCCTTGATTCGTGTTTGGGCAATGCTGCATTTGATGGTCTCTATGTAGACTTGTCCACAGCTGCATGCAAATGCAACATGTGGTATATGGTAGACTCTTCCAGAGGTGAGAGGATCCCTCTTGTTCTTTGCTGAACATAGCCAGTGATGCAGGCCTGAATGAAGTTTTTCATTTCATAAATTAAATACGGTAAAGTTGGCACTAGTGTGAACTGCTTTCACAGAGTCAACTGAGGTCTTTCCAAGTTAGGCTTTCCCTACCTAAAATTGCCCAATGAGTGGGACAAGGATCACAAACATTAACTTCCATGTATAGCCCATTTGTGTTTTTTTGGATAAAAGACATCCGTTGAGAAAATGTCTTTTGAATGATAGTGCTAGAAGGATCCTATTTGAAAGCACTCTTTATAGTCTTGTTATTTGTTCAATTACATTTCCATATTTTAGTTATGTCATTAATATCTGTTATCAAGGCCAAGAAATTTGTTGTTGTTTGGTCTCAATTACTTTTAAATTCTAGTACAGCAAAAATGAACTCAATATTGTACCTGGGTGTTTTTCAACTAAAGCATGTTATCATAATTTGTAAACAGGCTATATTCCCAAGGAATTTGACCAATTGTTAGTTCACTAGCAAATGCAACATATGGTGCTGTTGAGAACCCGTTTCATGATACTTCATATTGTGGATTTCCCTCTGCTCGTGAAATATAGATGTTTGTGCAGTGGCATTCATAACAATGTTCAGAAAGAGAAGCAAATTCAAGTAGTATAATTCACCTATATTTACAGCAGATATGTCAGGCCAAACTGAGTGGGATATCAGGAAACGTAGTTGTAAAGTCACATCAGATTTGTGAGAGAACAGTGAAATATGAGAAAAGCGTGTTTAAACATTTCCCTAGAACTTTTCCCCAAAGCAGTGTTCAAAGCCACCATTCTCCTTGTTGGGGCTCGCAGGCTAGAAGTGACGACTCTTGGGATTCTAACTGATATAAAAAGTGGGTTTTCCATCTGAGTGTTCCCATCGTGCAGTTTAAATTGCCAGCGCCATTGTCAAAACCATGTGTGGATTTTACCATAAGACTTGTCTAATTGCATCATGCCAGTTTGTTTGTGTAAGTGAATGTTTGTCAGGTGAATTAGGTCATTTAATTTGTTCACCTCATTCACTCATGTTTTTCTTCAATTGCTAAAAGCGAGAATTGAATCTGTCTGCAAAAATGAACTTACTGTTTTGATTTCCTTTCTCTTGATATCTTCCTCAAATATGTTTAGATGTAGCTTTCATTTTCTTTTACGGCACAGTCGTCCCCCTGCCCCTTTTCTCTGTGTAGTACACGTATTGGTAATATTAATCTTCTCTGTTTTCCCTCCACCCCAAAGGGACTACTACCTTGTTCCGCACTAGCTCCATCCCTAGAATCCTGCTTCTCCCGACCGGAGAGACCAGCGAACCGGCGCCCACCTTCCCGTTGGGCCTCATACTCCCCTACTGCCTCACTATCTCCTGGGGAAGAATATGGAAGCAAGGAACTGCCGTTGGGATATCCAAGCCAGTGATGCAAGCCTGCATGAATTATCACGGAATAATTCACTGTCTTTTGCATTTTAGCACCATTACCATGGCCAGTCTCTGTCAGCGAGGAGAGCTCAAGTTGTCACGGTCAAAGAACGTTCTGGAAAGCAGCATGTCCAATTTGGGAAACAGAGGTGTTTCTAGATTGAAACAGTTAATGTGCCTGTAATAACTTATTTTTTTCATAGCTCAGAAAACTATTTTTGCCTCCATCTTTTCTACACACAGTATATTAATTAAAAGGTCTAAAACTATACAGTCTAAAACTATACAGATAAAGGTAAGCTTTTAAATGAAACATACGTTGTGTTCCAAGGGAAACTGAATGTGTTCTCTCTCTTTCTCTCTGACTACGGACTGCCTTCTATTATATTTGCACTGTTAAGGTCTGGGTTCTGTTGGCCATTTTCCTGTCTTCTTGATTTCAAATTAGAAATGTCGATTCAGTTTATTCAAGTGTTGATTATTTTGCAAAAGGAACATTCATAAAGGTGCTTTAGCATGTCTGAAGTGGTAAATCTTAAGTAGTGAAGAAAGCCATTGAACTAGTTGACTAGAATTGTCTTAAACAAGCTAGAGGGGAATACAGGGAATATGAAATGTATAGAAAGGAAGGGGGAGCTTCAGCCAGTCTTAATGAAGTGAGCTCTATCACACATACACACACATATACACACATTTACCCACTCCCACCACCACACATCACTGATTTGCATGTCTTTAGGTTCCTAGCACTTTAGTGCATGTACATCCCGCTATTGTACTCTCACCATCACATCAATGTGTCTCGGTCTCTTTCACTGTTATATTGTTGTGAATTTATCTGTACTGTACTTTTAATGTTGGTATTCTTGCATTGATTGTACAAAAAAGAGGATTTTTAAATAATTATTCAAACAGTTCAACAGACTATGTACAGTGTTTATTGAAATCTTCCCTTGTTGGGGGAAAGCACTGAGAACTCTGGGCATACTGTAACTGGTCTTGTTTTCAAAGTCTGTTTGAGACCATGTGATGTGGAAATAAACTCCTCCGTATTTACAAATTGCCGGAGTGCACTGGAATCTGTTATTCTGCCCAAACCAGCCTATCCCCTTGGACCCCATTCAAGAAAGTTTGCAAGTTTCCTTAAGAAAAAAGCAGGGTGTCAAGTTGAGCAAATGATAAATAACAAAATAGCTAAATATGGTATTTAGAAAATACGGGATTGTGCCAAGATGTATAGTGTTCAATGTAGAATTCCCCCTCCAAATCTAGGTCACTAGGATGACAAATTCATTTTACATATTCCTTTGATACTTGCTCTGTAGAGTTGTGTTTGATCATGGGCGTATACAGATTCAATCTATAAAAACACAATGAAATAAAAGCCAGAGATGAAGCAGCTTTGTATCTTTCCACCCTTTATTGTAAGGAATAAAAGAATAAAAGTGGGCAAAGACAGTTGGTAAGTCTATTCCACTGGAGACTTTCATAACACTAGCATACACACAAGGTAAGAATTGTGGGAACCGTCTTTTCCTTTCTTTTGTTGCAAATATCTTTGCTGTAATACCTTCTATGGGATGTCGAGCTTCCAAAATTATCCTGGATCATTTGAAACCTTTTAAACATTTCTAAAACTGTCTTCTTCTCCCATCTGCTGCCTGAGACCCTGCACCATCCATCACACTCACATATTTCTTTCATGTCTTTTGGCACCCAAAAACAAGCTGCCATATCTTCTCACTGTCAGAAACAATGGGTTTAAATGTGTATACAAAAACAATTGGGGCTAAAAAACCAAAGGGACATGTAGGTGCATGGAGACCAAGATGGAAATGATCAAAACATGCAAAGGCTGTAGAACAGCATTTCTCAACCTGGGAATCAGGACCCCTGGGAGGCATCGCCAGTGGGTGTCAAAAAGATCACCAAAAACCATCAGAAAACACAGTATTTTCTGTTGGTCTTGGAGGTTCTGTGTGGGAAATTTGGCCCAATTCTATCATTGGCGGGGTTCAGAATGCTCTTGGATTGTAGATGAACTATAAATCCCAGCAACTACAACATCCAAATGTCAAGGTCTATTTTTTCCAAACTCCACCAGTGTTCACATTGGGGCATATTGAGGTTTTGTACCAAGTTTGGTCCAGATCCATCATTGTTTGAGTCCACAATGCTCTTTGAATGTAGGTGAGTTACAACTCTAAAACTCAAGGTCAATGCACACCAAACCCTTCCAGTATTTTCGGTTGGTCATGAAAGTTCTCTGTGCCAAATTTAGTTCAATTCCATCATTGGTGGAGTTCAGAATGCTCTTTGATTGTAAGTGAACTATAAATCCCAGCAGCAACAACTTCCAAATGACAAAATCACTCCCCCAACCCCACAAGTACTGAAATTTGGGCGTATCAGATATTTGTGCCGAATTTGGTCCAGTGAATAAAAATACACCATGCATGTCCAATATTTACATTACAATTCATAACAGTAGCAAAATTACAGTTTTAAATTATTAACTAAAATAATTTAATGATTGTGAGTCACCACAATGTGAGGAACTGTATTAGGGGGTCGTGGCATTAGGAAGGTTGAGAACCACTAATGTAGAACCCTTCCTAAAGGATTCAAAGGTTAAGGGAGATGCCTGAAATCATCTCCAATGCTTTGGTGGATGAGAAATGTGGTAGCTACATTAGGCCGCATCTTATGCTGCCCTTCCCTTCAAAGAATGAGTCCTTCCACTCATAAATGATACAGCTTGAATAGAAAGAAGGATTTTCACCACTCCCACATCTCCCTGCTGTTGGGAAAATCTGTTCCAAAAGGATGGGCCGCCTTCCAGAAGTATGGGAGGTGGCAAATTGGCTTGAGTGGAAAGATAGGTTTTTCAAAAATCAACTCTTTCCTTCCTCCATTGTGTTCATGAAAGCACCCTGAGCCAAATCATAGTATTAGGTATGTAATCCATAAGCAAAAACAACATGCAGAATAGGCTAATATATTTTATTAGGACTACTGGGGGCACTTCCACACGGCCCTATATCCCAGAATATCAAGGCAGAAAATCCCACATTATCTGCGTGTGGACTCAGATAACCCAGTTCAGAACAGATTTTGTTGGATTTTCTGCCTTGATATTCTGGGATATAGGGGTGTGTAGAAGGAAAAGGTTGGGTCGTTTGACTTTTCTGTGTTTTTGTCAAGGTGATGGAACTGTTATAGAAAAAAAGCAATTGAAATCATTTATGTCAGAAGACAATGTGAAAGCAAATGCCTAGCTGGCTCAGTTGTCGTTAGTGCCACAAGCTGAAATTGACATTCTTATGCTTAAAAAGGTAGAATTAATTGCAGTATTTCCAGCTACTTATCTGTTTCAAATTAAGTCCAATACCAGTACCATCTAAGAGAAGTCATTTCTTCATTTCCTGGGGTTAAAAAAATGCTGCTACTGGAATATGGTTCTTTTTTTCATATCCGAACATACAAATGAAAAGACAGATTATACTGAACACAGCCTAGGGCTTTTAAAGAAATTCATGCTCAAGCCCTCCCTCCTTTCCCCCCTTTTCCTTTAAAGCTACAGAGACAAATTCAGGATGCCGAGAACTGGTTAATGACTCTGAAGTGATGTTTGCTCTCTGGAACCAAGCCTTCGGATTAGTTCTCAGCCATCCTGAAATAGTAAGGTGTGTCAGGCTAAGCAGCTTGCCATGGTTTGTCAAGTAAACTGCTTACATAACTGTGGGAATTACTAAAAACAAGAGGCAGGCTGAACACAAGGAATCAGAAAAGAAAAGGAAGAGGGTCAAAAGTATAGGGAAGCTCTTCAAAAGATCTGAAAACCTCATTAATTGAATGTTCCATTCCCTGTAGCCAAATTAAGAAGCATGACAGCATCAAATGTGCCCCCCCAGAATGTTTAAAACATGAAGGCTTTCAAGTTTTAACTACTGTGACAGCTCTATTTTTTTCTGCATTAACATACACGTTTCTTTGTTGAGTCCAAATATAAGTTATACATCTGTGCAATCCTATATATGTTACTCAGAAGTAAGGCCCTTTAATTAAATAACTGTTACATATAGCTATGCGACTGTAGTCTTAAAGTAATGTGGCTGTGGTGTGTATATCTTCAAGAGATTTACAGTGCAATCCCGTCCATGTGTACAGTGTCAGACTAGGACTGGGGAAATCCATGTTGCAATCTCCACTCATCCATGAAACTGGGTGACCTAAATGATTAAGCAAAGGCTTGGAAACATTTACACACGCTGCTGCAGCTGGTATCTTTTATGTGTAATACTTTCGAACATAGTTTGGTTACCTTATGGATGATCTCTGAGTGATCTCCTTATAATTTTGATGTTAATGGTGTTGCATGTTACTGTTTTATAAACAAACAGTGAGCAGCAGAAAATAAGGTCAAAGATATCAAAACTGAGGAACAAAAGAACAGTCGAAGGTGTTGGGTTGTTGTAGGTTTTTCGGACTGTATGGCCATGTTTTTAGAAGCATTCTCTCCTGACGTTTTGCCTGCATCTGTGGCAGGCATCCTCAGAAATAGTGAGGTCTGTTAGAAACTAGGAAAATTGGGTTTATATATCTGTGGAAGGTCCAGGGTGGGAGAAAGAATTCTTGTTTGTTGGAGCTAGGTGTGAATGTTTTAATTGGCCACCATTAGCATTGGCCACCATTAGCACTGGCCACCATTAGCATTTAATTGGCCATCCATTAGCATTGGATGGCCTGACAGTTTTTAGGTGTGCCCTGTTACTACCTGGGGGAATTCTTTGTTGAAGGTGTTTTAAAAAACCTGAAAAGATGCTTCTTGAGTTATGATAAACTCTCAGTAACAACAACAAGAAAAGCAACACTTTGTATTGTCGAAGGCTTTCATGGCCGGAATCACTCAGTTCTTGTGGGTTTTTTCGGGCTATATGGCCATGTTCTAGAGGCATTTCTCCTGACGTTTCGCCTGCATCTATGGCAAGCATCCTCAGAGGTGAGGTCTGCTGGAACTGGGAAAAAGGGTTTATATATCTGTGGAATGACCAGGGTGAGACAAAGGGCTTTTGTAAGTTGGGCTAGGTGTGAATCTTTCAACTGACCACCTTGATTAGCATACAATGGGCTGACTGTGCCTGGGGCAAACTCTTCTTGAAAGGTGATTAGATGTCCCTGCCTGTTTTTCTCTCTGCTGTTTTTGCTGTTGCAATTTTAGAATTTTTTAATACTGGTAGCCAGATTTTGTTCATTTTCATGGTTTCT